GTGGCAGCGCCAGGCCTCAGAATTTGGGGGGCATTTGAGGGGCAAACTCATATTTGGGGGGGGGGGGCAAGATAGAATTTTTAAAAAGGTACTGCTATAGGACGTTTGTCCCCCCCTCCCACCCCAGGAGATTAGCCCCCCTTTCAAAAGGGGGCTTAGGAAGCAAGGTCCCCCTCACCAATATTTTATAAGGTGGGGGGGGGACGGGATAACTTCTCGACCCCCAAAAATTATTGGATTTAAAAATAATAATAAATTACTGCGAAATTCTCGAAACTGGACGTATTTGAAACCGTATATCATATTAATAATGTATCTGCAATTAGCCTTTCTCACGCCGCCATTTTTGGGGTAAGGTCTTTTCCAAATCTGAGATTGTGTATTGTTATTTCAATAAAATATAACAACATTCAAAATCTGACTAGAAGGGGGGCTATTAAATTTTTTCACGAAAATGAGGGGGGGTTGTAATTAGATTTGAAGGAATTTGCTTAATAAGCATGGTATCCATTTGGTTGTAATTGCTACTAAATCATGGTTACTGATGTGAAATAGTCTGGATTTATCTTGTCTTCTGTGTACTGTATGCAGAGATAAATTGACAATGTATTATTACATCAGCCTGATCTTGATGTGGTTAAATACATTTAAGCAAGGTTTACGGCAAATGTATTATGCAAGCCACATCCGCTGAGGGGAGTCTGTGACATTTTATTGATCAAAGGGGGTTGTTTTGCACCTTGTGATCAGTGCTTCGGTCTGGGTATTCCTTCTGCCATTGTATGCTTTGCCAAGCTGCAGCAAGTTTAGCGCTTAGATACCTTTTCCCTACCCACCCACCCATGTTTATTCTAGGGGATTTTATCTGGTAGTATGTCATTTTATTTTATATAATTTTTAATCTCACATAAAATAGGATGTATAGACCACTATACATTGTATTTTGTTTCCACTGACTTGTCAGTGTGACTTGTGCCGGAGGTATGCCTTTGCAGAATGTCCAGAATTGTTATGTGGCTATCTCCTTTTGCTGCTTATATTACCGATTGTTACTCTCGTTGCTGGGCAGCTGCTATGGCAATACTTTGTGCCATCAAATCTAGTTACAGCCTTGGACCACAAACAGCACCTGGCTCCAAATACTAATATTAATTCTCTGCCGTTAAACATGGTTACAATCGCCCAGACCAAATAGAAACCTGATTTTAGAATTAGATTAATACCCCTCTTTTAATTATAATTTTCTGCTAATATATATTTTTGGTCAATGTTAATATCTTGTCAGTTCCATATTCTTATTTAATAATTAACACTATAATGCCTGGGTATCGCCATTTGATGAGAAAAATGAAAATGGGGGGGGGGGTCAAAGAAACATATTCTAATATGTAGGGGGGTCATTATTAAATTTCTGCTCTTTTAAAGGGGGGCTTTCAATTTTAAAAATTTAGGAAAGAAAAAATTCCCCTCCCCCCTTCATAAATAATGACCGGTCCCTAAGTCTATGACACCTAGCCATAAAATCCCTAGGAAGAAAAAATATATATCGATAAACTATACTAAAAATATACTATTAGGAATTAAGCCACATCAAATTTATTTCACAAAAAATATGGAACATGTAAATTTTTGTGGTATTCTGTGGTACTTGTACATGCACCTGTATTTGTTAATTACAGCAGGACCTGTCTTTTTGAATGTTTAAACATTGTATATGCCGTCTGCTGACACTACATGTTATGTTAATGCTACATGTTAAACATTGCCATCTACTAATGTATAGAGAACATAATATGTATGTGTCATTCATCATTGGGAAATGACCTTGTAGGGGTCAACTTGTGTTGTTATGATATAAAACACATAACTGAATTTTAAAAATTCGTAATGTCTGTGTTTTTTGGAAGAGGAATTAATATTGTGTACACTTCAGTGAGGAGTTATAGTTTTTATACACTGTTTTTAGGTGACAGTGACATACCCAAATATGCCACATCCACTCCTGAGAAGAACAAACCTTTATCTAAAAAACATTCATTAACACCATCAGCCAAAGAGAGGGAACCGGCAATGAAATGACGAGTACCTAATGTAGATAGAGTTGTGTCATCCACAAGTCAGCCTTTGCTTGATAAAGGTACAAAGAACTTATCAGGTTTTGATATCAAGCAGAGAAGAGCCTCACTAGTATCCATAGTGAATGAAAATTATGAACTCAGTACGGATGAGAACAGTATTGTCACGCAAGCTGATATGTTGCAGACTCTTGGTCTAAAGTCAGATGATAAATCTAGGCTCACAAAAGCAGTTATGGAGGTGTTTCCAGGTTGTAAATTGTCAAGACGTCTCGTACATTTAAGTGATACAACTACATGTAGAGAAACCATTTATTCTAAAATCATTAGAAGGTATTCTTTTCCAAATATGTTGTTTCCAGAAAACAGTGGTGTTGATAACATTAAGAAGGCTATAAGAAGGCTGCAAGAGGAACAGCAAACTGTCAGCAATGAGATGGAAAATGAGATGTCAAAGAAGGAAGACCAATGGAATACTGGTTATAGCCGTCAAAAGTTGACCAATGATTTTAAAACATTATTTACATTGTTATGTATCTTTTATGGTGCTGGGAAGAGGTTTGTGGAATTGCTTAACCATGTTGGACTGACAGTTAGCTGGAAAAAAGCGATGCAAGTTCTGGATCAAAGAATGATCAAAATGAAAGAAAAAATTAAAAAACTTACACCAACTGACATTGCCATAATTTTACTAATGGACAATATCAACATTTACAAGGGTAAACGAAAGCACTTACGGATTTTTAAAGAAATAACACCATCCATGTGGAATTTTACAGGGAGAGCTATCATCATTCCGTTTGTATCGGACAATGTTAAAATGCAACTAAAAAGTAGCGTGATTCACTACAAAGCCAAAAAGATGTTCTGAAAATATCTTCTGACATTTTGTACGATCCAAAAAAGAATGATTCAGATAAAGTATTTGAGAACTATAAAGATAACTATGTTTTGTCTGCTATGGACAAGGTATTAAACTTTTTGCCAAATACAAACAAAAGCCTTGACAAGATGAACAAGGTGGAATTCAATAAATGGTTGGTCAATTCGGATCTTACAAAGTCGAGAAAAAGGTATAAAATCAACGTGCTAGAGCAAGATGAACTGTTGGACACCACGCATGGCTTAAGAAAGACTGAGGCCTATGTTTTACCATTATCACTTGAAGATAATAGTACAATATCAGGAACAGCTGCTATCCTCAAGGAGTTTGAGAGTGAGTTTGATCTACATTCTGGAGGAACTAGTCCTGAGTTTATACCTTTCAATACCACCAATTGTTCATTTGATGTTGATCAAGCCCGATCACGGTACAAACATATGATATCACAGGCAAAACATGTTGCTGACATGGCTGGTTATGAAGCAACTTTGGCGAGTAAAGAAATGCATCTGGATGGTATAATGTCTGATGAAACCCCAGTTTCTGACTCAAATATCAGAACAGGTGAAGAAGAATCGGATGGATCTGATGGTAAAACAGAAACTATTGAAAACTCTGTTGCAAATGACAGATCCTGTACATTAGACAGTGAAAGACGGAGGTTTAGGAATGAGGATGCGAAATTTTGGCAGTACTATAACAATATTGATTCCCGTGTCAAGTCTTCAATTCAGTCAAACAGTGAAGAACAGTTTGCCGAGACTGTGAATGCAATGACAAAAGCAAAGTTATATATTCATAAAGATCATCTACAGCGAACATTCTTGCATATTGCTATTGAAAAAGCAAACAACACCCTTGCTAAAGCGCTTGTATTTAGTGGTTTCAATGTTAATACTAAAGAAGGATGTGGTATAACTCCACTTCATTTGACAATTACTTTTGGCAACATATCAATGGCACAGTTTTTGATTGATAGAAATGCACAGTTCAATGGTCCTATGTTTTCAAGCATTCCCTCTCCAAAGACGATGGCTGAGAAACTTCACCTTACCGAGTTACTAAGAATCATGGAGGAGAAAGAAGAGGAATCAGAAGAAGAAGATGACACTATAGCCAGCATTGACCATAGATTCAACCTGAAGCCATTAATCAGTTCAACAGAGGAAACAGATAAATTAGTAGGAGAGTCAAAGGGTTTGTCACTCACGTAGTTGGTGATGTTGGTACGTGCAAGACTAATTGTGCTGTCATGGCTAGATCTTGTTCATATGATTGGGCTGGGATTTGTATAGGAGACTTGCATAACAAAGGTTATTTTAACGAGGCCTGTTTTAAAGAACATGGTAAATCTGGACTTCATTACATTATCTATGACGTTCTGAAGCGAACAAAGTTGACTACAGAAGTTTTTAAGACCAGAAAATTCCAGGAAAACTTCCTACTGCAAACCAGAGAAGCTAACCGAGATGTTTCTTTCGGATATTGCATGGCTGCTTGCATGGAATTTCATCGCTCTACCTTTTTTCCAACAAATGCTGATTTTACACAGTCAATGAGGACAAGCTGCAACCATTCGGGTGTTTTGTTATCAAGATTCAAAGAGTGGGTGGAAAGCTTTGATGTTCACCATGCTTCTCGCCATTCTGAGAAAAGCTCTTTTCCAGACCAACTAAAGGCTGGTTGGTTTTGTATGACAAAGGAGTTCTTTGCTAACCAAAGAAGGAAAGAAGTCAGAACAATGCCTCTAGGGAAAAAAGGAATCTTACAAGATAAAATCTCCAGCAAGGTCATTTTCTCATATGAGAAAGGAGTGGAAAAAATCAAGAAAGATCTAAAAGTTAAGTTGTACGAATGTTTTCCAGATTTAAGGTACAATATCCTCGTTGAACAAAGTGGCACAAGTGAGTGAGTGTTAACGGATTAAGATAAAACTTTATAGACGATTGCACATTTACATTTGCAGACTTTTCAGAAACATGAATAAATAGCTATTTTAATAGGTAATTAGGTATACAGTATGATTGACGGCAACTGACTGGTTGAAAGGTTATATAAATACCAATAATATAATGGGGTTTTCTCTCAGCCAACGCTTTCTTATTTGTTGGATTATGGAAATTTAAATGCAACAAAAATAAAAAAGGTCCAAGTTAATATCATCGATTTTTTGAGGGTTTATGTTCAGCAAATATGAAGAATACATAAAGCATAATGCTAATAATCAAAAAACAGACTTCTAGGTTGCCAAAATTTGGCCTATGACAGGCCTATAATGTCAATTTTACTAATTGTTGCATTGCTTAAGGAGGCTCCCTACATTTCCCAATTTATGTCAGTGTTTTAAATTAAAAGCTATTTGAATCTAAAAAAACTAATTTTTTCGTCCATATGGCCTATAACTAATTTTTCATCTATATGGCCTATAACCAAAAAACCCATCTTAGTTGACAAATAACCATGTTTACCTCCCTGGAAAGGCTGTAATTCAGTTTCTCAGAAACTACACTGGCAATTTTCCAACAAAAATGATTCAAAACTTCTTAACAATGTATTTTCTTCAATGTGATTAGAAGCGAACTTTCTCTAAGCCTCATTTAAATCTAATAATTTTCTTTTTAGTAACGACCAGAAGGCTTTTTTTATAACAAATTTAATAAATTGTAACAACGTTTCGGAGTTTACTCCATCATCAGGTTATATTTATACACAATAAAAAAACGGGTTAGTGCGTATAAATGTAACCTGATGCTGGAGTAAACTCCGAAACGTTGTTACAATTTATTAAATTTGTTATAAAAAAAGCCTTCTGGTCGTTACTAAAAAAAAATTATGTATTTTCTGCAATAAAAAGGCAGGTAACTGTGGTTTTTTTGTCCGCTAAGACGGCTTTTTTTGTTGATAAAGGCCATATAGATATGACTGTAGGCCCCTTTAAAGTTAGTATATTTGAACTTGAATTCAGACAATGTCAATTATAAATAATGTGAATCAATTGACATGGTACTTGTATTTTCAAATTGCTGTGCTTATCCCTTACGAAAAAATCCTATAGGAATTCCTGTAGAATTCCTATAGAAATTTCCTATAGGAATTCCTATAAGAATTTCGGACCATTCCTATAGGAATTTCTATAGGAATCCTATAGGAATTCTTATAGGAATCCTATAGGATTTCTACAGGAATGCTATAGGAATTCGTATAGGAATTCATATAGGAATCATATAGGAATTTCTATAAGAATCCTATAGGATTTTTATAGGAATTCTTATAGGATTCCTATATGAATTTGTATAGAATTCCTATAGGAGTTCATATAGGATCGAGTCATATAATAATTCATACACGAGTTTCAAAAGTATGACGCGCGAAAGCGGACAAAATTACTTTTCCGAAATATATATGACGTCAACATCGAATATAAAACATCAATACAAATATAGTAGGAATTACCGTATATGTATGTGCTAATTCTTAAATATAAAACATGTTCTCAAATATATATATATCATCTTTCGTAAATATAAACAGTGTTGCCGATTATTTAACATCTTCTCTCATATATATAAACAGTATTGGAATATATAAATCACATCACATATATAAACAATGTTCCCATATATAAATCACCTCGCATGCCAAATATATAAAGCGTGGTTACACAGCATAATGCTGCATGAGCCTCCGACGTTCCAGCGGAAATTTTCATAAAAAAATTGCTATACTTTATATTCCGTAATTTGTATTGGTTGGAAAATTGTTTTGAAAACGTTCGTTTGGTTTCACAAATGAACCGCGATTTCCCAGTTGCACATATCATTGATTTTTTATCGTTGGGAATTAATCTTTTTGGGGACCTTCGGCGCCATTCGTTTTCTTCAGATGCCCGTTTCGCAGAAGTTCTGGTTTGTAGAGCCGAAGAGTACGTGAATGGTTTAGTTGTGCTGCTTCATGTGTATGACTGGTCAGAAGAGATATGTGGCGAATTTGCATCGGTTATTTCTGGTGTGCAGGGTTACATTAATCATTTTAATGAAAGGTTTGACGAATTCATTCAGAAAAATGAAGAATGTTACCAGTGTCCATACGAAGAACGAGACGAATCATGCGTTGGTGCTGGGAGGCCACGGTTCCTTATACCAAGGGATCAATTACAAGGCCTGCGTTCATTGCATTTTTCCTGGAAGAAAATTGCGGAAATGCTAGGCGTTTCAGAGAAAACTATTAGGCGCAGGAGACAAGAACTAGGACTTATGATTGGATATCAAAATTCCTATAGCGATATTCCAGATGATGAGTTGGATGTGTTTATCAGAAGAATATTGGATTTATCTCCACAGTCTGGTGAAAGAATGGTTCTTGGATCTTTAAGAGCACAAGGAATAAAAGTGCAAAGAAATCGTGTAAGAGATGCCATTGGTCGTGTGGACCCTATTAGTCGAGATATGAGAAGAAGAACGGCTATTAATCGTCGTGTGTACAATGTACCAACACCTAATGCTTTATGGTATGTATTGCAATGTGGTCATAAATACATATGTTCACCCTTCACTCATATCAAGGATAATTTTACAAGTGCTGTACATCAGTACCTAAATTTCCTCATTAACTTAATGTTTGCCTAGGGCAAGTCTGTATATTAAATGCACCCTACTTCATTATTTTAATCTGTCTAATGCCAAACAATTTTACTTGCCAGTGATAGGATACTGCCAGTTAATGGGTTTTAACTGATAAAGCACTGATAAAACTGATAATCTCACTTGTGAGAGTAGTTATAATTTCACATGTGAAAATTGTCGCTTTTAGATTATCGTGTTTCTGTAAAACTGTTCACTTTCAAAGACGGTCCTTAAACAGAAATATACATGGATGCTTGGAAATACCTGATTTATTTCTCATGTTGAACATAATATCATCTCACTCTCAAGATAACATGTTCAACACTCGAAATAAATCTGGTATTTCCACACATCCATGTATTATTCTCTATATAAACAATAGCTAAGACAAGTGGGTTGCCCAATCAATCACCCTGATGGGTGATTTAAGTTATGTATATCAGTAAATAACCCTTAGTTTGCATCTGTAATCATCATATCAGATGAGCATGGACCAATAAGGGGGCTTCGGTGGCCAAGTGGTTAGCGCACTTGCCTTTCACCTCTGAGGCTGCAGGTTCGAGTCTCACTAAGTACCTTCTCAGTGCGACTCGAACCCAGTCCCCATGTGAAAAGAGTAAAAGTCAACGTTCTGCCGAAAGCCGTGGGTTTTCCCCGGGTACTCCGGTTTCCTCCCACAGGGAAAGTTGACAGGGTGGGTTTGGTAAAAAGGGCCCACTGTAATTGGCATATGCTGTTGTGGTGACCCTGCCCTAGTTGGCAAAGCTAAATAAACAAATAAATAAATAAATAAATAGAACACATACTTGGAATTGAGCCTAAGATGCAAGAAGTTACTGTTCTTTTAAGCTTCTGCATTATATAATGTGCAAATAATGTTCAAATTCTTAATGTATCTGGTACATACTAATTTTATCGCCAACTTGGTTGGTGGTTGAAGTTTACATACAAAAACAATTGAATATATTCTTCAACTATAGGCACATTGACGGAAATCACAAGCTAATTCGTTGGAGATTTGTGTTGCATGGTGGAATTGATGGCTTTTCCCGGACAATTGTTTACTTGGCATGTGCAGATAACAATAGAGCAGATACTGTTCATGCTCTATTTGTGAAAGCGAGTCAACAATTCCACCTCCCAAGAAGAGTTAGATGTGACCATGGGACTGAAAATGTGTCTGTTGGGCGTCACATGTTACATCATTATGGTACTTTAAGAAACCCAGTCATTACTGGCCTCTCAGTTCACAATCAGAGGATTGAAAGGTTATGGAAAGATGTCAACCTTTACATTGTTCAATATTTCAAAAACCTTTTTTACTATTTTGAATCTATTCAGTTGTTAGACCCAGTGAACGAGATACATTTGCTTGCCTTACATTACGTTTACAAACAACGGATCAACAAGGCAATAGAATCTTTTGTTCAACAATGGAATCATCATCCTCTTTCAACAGAAGGGAACAAAAGTCCTTACCAAATATGGACAGAGGGATTTTATAGTCATGCCAATTCCAATCATGGAGCTGTTATGGATCTCCTTCATAGAAATGAAAATGTTAGAAACATTGGGGTTGATGATGAGGGTCCTGTCCCAGACATACAGACACAAAATAATGTCATTGTACCAGATATTAATGTTGATCTTACTGAGAATGAAAATTTTCAGTTACAACAATTAGCAATATCAGACATCCCTAACAATGAGCATGGTGAACAAGCTTACTTGATAGTTCGTGCAACAATTGAAACACTTTTGGAAGAAAGGGATTAATAGTTTAAAAGAATTGTTTATACACCAGCTACAATCAATATTGCTAAAGCTACACTGGATAAGGTTGCACTGTCACAGCGGATAGTTTCCCCTGTATAAAGTGTCCCCCAAGACACCACCATATCTGCTAGTGTGCAGTGTCTCCCTGGACAAACTGAAAAATACTGAGCTAAGATTCAGCTCTTGCATATAAAATAAACAATTTTTGACCGTTTCTCCAATGTACACATTGGGTTAAGTCACTATTACTGGGATGACACTATCTGCTGTGAGTCTGTTACACTTGAACTTAAAATAGTAGTTCCAGTGCAC